CATCTTCGAGCTACTTATTTATAGTGTGGTATTTCGTACAATGAGGTTTTGACTAGTAGTCTACTGGCTGGTTGTTTCAACCCTAACGACTTCAGGTGTAGTGAATTGGACAAACATTTGACTTAGACTTGCTTGGAGATAACAAGAAAACATATAATGTGATTTCAATTGGAAGTTGTCTCACCTGATCATTATTTCTTCCCGCCTAACTGAATTTGTGACACAGTTGATCAGTACACATAACCAAAGTAAGATCCCCATGCCACTATAATACTCTACATTGACTCTTGTTTTTAACATTTCTCTAAGCTTGCGATATGATTCTTCACCTCTTAAAGGTTCACCATGAATACTGTCACCTAGTTTAATAAATACAGGCATGATACGGTGTTTCATTCTGAATTTTTATTATATACTAATGTTTCTGGTTCTTTTGTTAGCTGTTGGCAGTGCAGCCTCTAGAATTATAGTGAGCTTTCAGACCCGAATTTTGTTATAGTGGTTAAATGATTTGATAATTACTGATTTATTATTGATTTATGTGCCAACAACAACTCAACTAGTATTTCTTCAATGTATTCGCCTTCTAGTTTCAGTAGGACTTTTTTAAATATGTCGACAAGACGTTCGGCTTTGTCCCCGGATTTAACGTGTGTTGATAATATAGGAATTAGAACTGAATTGTTGTTTATGCTGAGTACAGAAGATTCCCATGCTGGTTTCAGATTGATGAGGGCGTATCTTGCCTTTTCGATTCTGGCCAGCTATGACATCTTCACCCCTTTCGTCAGTAGTTGAAACGACGCTTCCTAGATAAATGAAGGAGTTAATCTCTGTTAAGTGTCTCCCCTTGGTGGTGATTGCTTCTGGTTGTCGTTGGTTGGTTATCTTCATCACCTCCGGCTTCTCTATGTTCAGCTGCAGCCTCTTCTGCCAGTGTGTTGGTTTTCGCCTGTGGATATTCGAGTTTGTATGACATTACGCACAAATCATCCACACGCGAAATCCATATCTTCTAGAGTCTTCTTATTGGTGGTCCGATGTATTCCTGTCTCCTCGCTCCCCACTCACAGTCTGACGCATAATCCATTCCACCACAATTAAGAGTATCATCGATGATAATAGACAGGCAGCCTTGTCTTATTCCCGTATTCACTTCGAATACCTCACTGAGTTTCCCGTTGTGGATCACATGACATGCAATTGCATTGTCAAATAGCGAGTTGTTGAATGAGGTCGATAGAGACTTGGGGTACCGCACGCCATGGTGTTGAAGCAGTCTCTAAATTCCTTCCCCGTCAACGCTGTTGAAGGCCTTCTTGAAGCCAATGAAACTGAGGAGGATGGAGATTTGACTGCCATTCTATGCTTTGTTCGATGACGATGCCTAGAGTTGCAATTTGATCAGCACATGATTTGCCTTTCCTGAATCCAGCTTGTTCTGGGTAGAGTTTTGCATCCAGTGCATCTTTTATTCTCTCCAAGATGATGCGACCAGGGACCAGAAATACTGACATTGATTACTATATGACATAACCTACATTACATATTTAAATCAATCAGTATACCTCTAAGTCAGAAATATATTACGTGTCTCTGTATTCTATAAAAACTATTGTTTAAAATGAAACAAACATTCACTATACTATGTAATACTAGCTGTTCAAAATCACTTCACCATGGGTGAATGCATAGTTCATCGCCCATAGTTAATTCTTATATCTAACGTAATCCCGAATTTCAGTATTTAATTATATAGTTTCGGGAAACCACCGCTTTATTGCACTCATTTTCTTTGAATTGAATCAAGGTATTTTTGAAGGGTATTTCTTCTAATCAGTTTCAGTAGCTGATATGATATTTTGTCATTAGAGACTATGGCAGATTTAGGGTGTTTAAGACTTTGCGAAGAGATATATATTCTTAGGTAGTCAGTGTATTGATACAAAGGAATATTCTCTTTCTTACTTATCTGATTAAATGATATGATTCTGTCTTCAGATTAGTTAATGAATTTTCTCATATTTTAAGCTTTCCCAACCGAAAGTTTCAGTGTATGCACTTGATCTCACAATCATTGCATAAAACTTAAATATAGTAAATAATTTATCCGATTGGCATCATTCAAACATATGAATGTAGCTTAAGAAAGAACAACAGGTATTAGTAAGGTAAGTGCGCCTCCAGGTTGTTAGGTATTACAATGCACGAACTGGTCCATAATCATTGCTGTAGAATATTCCAGCTCTCAAACGCAATGTATCTAATTATGTTTGGCATGCAAGCATCCACTTGAATCTAAAATCAGGACTGCTTCACAGTAGCTCTTAGTTTTCTCAGAGGTAGTGAGATATCTGAATATTTTGACCATTTTGCTTGTTTTGGAAAATGCATCCACCGTTGTGCACTGACTGCTAACGTAACCTCAGCACAAATACAGAAGGTTCATTTGTTATTTGCCAAAATGAATCATCTCTTTCTCAGGATTGATGTTTGTTTACCCACCAAAGAATGTGTACCAGGTCGCAGTTCGCCCAGCTCTAATTTACAACTGCGAGACACGACTACTTAGAAAAGATATAAACAGACGAATGGTTTTCGACACCTATTTTACTTCTCATCTTAGGTGGAGCAAATAAAAATGACGTTAAGCCTAGTGTTAGATGAGGAGGATAAGGCAACTGAAGACATCCATTTTTTTCTCATTTAAGTGGCTACCACCTTTCCCCACAACCTGAAGTTAACCAGTCGCTCGACCTAACTCAGTTTGACCCGCAGTGACGATGATTGAATTATTGTTTTTCTCCAACACTTTAGTTCTATTTTTACTACCAACACACTCCCAATATTTGAGTCTCTCGTTGGTACCTTTTTGTTTTGCTTCTAATTGATTAGTCCTCTTATCGTAAACTGCGTAAAGTATTGACATTTTTCAGTCCTACAACTAGTGAAGCACTTATTAAGCGGACATCATCCAATATTAGTGTCTGAATAATTCTAAATGGGAAAAGCTATTATATTCTAAGATCTATACTGGTGAAATTTAAACCAGACCACCCTATACATGAACTGTTCAAAATAGAATACCACCCTAACTAAATTCTCAAGCTTTAATCTACTGCTGATGATGTGACAGAATCAAGAAGTTCACTTACATCATACAGGGACTGCTGCATGAAATATCACAGAATGTGGCACCCGACATCACTCTATAGAATAAGAAATCTTTCACTCTGACTGAAACAACTTTGTAGAATCCGCTTCAATTCCCAAGAGATTTGTAAAACAATGGACGAAGAGGAAACACTACACCTGGAAGACTTATCTGATGGTCGGAGTTGCGCATGGAGTTTATTTGCCGTAAAACGCATACAAACTTGTAGCAGTCTGAAATATTTGCAGCTCAGGAAATGCTTGTCATTTTGGCAGTGTGTGATGAAGTGAGTCTACTAACGAAAGAGCTCTCAATTTTATACGAGTCATTAACCTCGTAGGAAGTGATCATATTTGTTTTCTCAAAAGAATTTATACAGCATAATTCTGCCAAGTAAGAGACCTAACAGTTGGCAAATCTCCTTTCTTGCTTAGTCTATTAGTTCGTTTATCACCTATGCCTTTCACACACAATTAGATTCGAATTTTCTGACCACGATTTTTGAGAGATGAATATTTGAATCTCTTTTCTCCTGTGGTATATGGATTGTGGTAACTTGAACTCCTGCACCTCTTTGTGAATTTCTACATTGGAATTCAGCCAGTCAACATACCTGCTTTTATCTTAAGTCACACTTAGTAATATTCTACAATGCAACAGCTTCTACACGGCTCCTTACAAGAAACCATCAGAATCAACCACAAACAGAAAGCTTTTTATATCGTTTTCAGTTCATCTAGAATTCCTTATCACCATCTAAATGTCCAGCTTTTACAACCGTATCGTCACTGTATTTGACACAAATATGATTTCACTATATCGACGTCTTTTTGGACCACAATTCCTGCCAGATATTCAGTTCTCTGTAAAGCACGATTACGCCGAAACCCTATGACTAAAGAGACGATGTTGAGTTAACATAGAGTAGTCATTTGTTGGCCAAAACAATGTTAACGCTGTACGGGTTGCTTTATTTAATATTACGAATCAATAAAAAAGACCGCCAGTTACATAGATCGAAAAGAACTATCTACAATCATGTACTGAATAGTCACAATCCCAGGAATTCAAGACATTTTTTGTTTAACTTCCCTATCTCGCCTTCGTTTCATCATTTTATCACTAATGTATTGGATTGTATTAACATTTAACTGTCTCTGCGACCACCACAGACACACTATTTGCTACTGTCACAAAATAAAATTCTCGGAAAAACAGATGGGTACACAATGGGACTGTATAATCATGCAATTTATATGATTATTGACCCAGTAAATATACAACAAACAAATATATGGAATTAAAAACTACCACTGTTTAAGTTTTACACATATACATGGACGACTACTTGTTATACATATGAAACATAGTGTCGAATCTATTACCCAGAAAACAATGGGTAAGTGGAAGGGGAATTCTCAGGAAAAATCAGACGCTCTGTGTGACGTGTTTATCACAAACAGGTACCTACTACAGTTTCTTAAAGCAATACAAAGACTTCTCCGAATAATTATATGCCTGAACAAAACTAACCCACACTGATACATTGTTGTTCTGTACTGTAAAATCCACACCGGTTTTCAGAAGCTAAAATATGATAATAGCTTAGATGACTGAAAATGCGGCACCAATTATAGCGACTAACGCAGAGAAACTCTAACACCGATAATTCTTTACAAACCCTAACTGTCCATGTAAGAGGACGTTAAATCAGTTTTTAGTGACCTCGCGTTCAACCTACTATCTATGAACTTATTTGATATCAACATAAACTAGCGAAATTAAATTAACGCAATGTGGTAACATCAACTAAATAAACAGATATGTTAAGGGAAAACCGAAGAGAAAACTGAAATAAGCTTTAATTCGAATTACAACGGAAAATTTCCATGGAACGATACTATAAAATGATCGGAACAAAGTAAAGAACCTGAGCTTGAAATATTCATATGGGTATAAAATGTATGACAATAACAGGAGGTGATACGCTAAAATCGCCAGACAATTAGCAAGAAACAGAAATCACAATAGGCAATCGTAGTTGCAAGTAACAGAGAATATTATGGCTGAGATCAAAGAAGTCCAGCAGCAACTTTTTCTTCCTTTAGCTCTTCAGATGTTAGGTTAAACTTGTTTCTAGCCCAATCATCAAACTTTAGTCCCTGGACGATTTTCCACTTTCTATTTTCAATCTCCACAGGGAAACTGAAGATAATATCCTTTGGAGCATCGTAGGATCCATCACTCACCACCGACATTGACACCCACTCACCCTAAAGGAAAGCACATAAGCACGTTAGAAAACATACCTTTTTTGTTCCAAACCACCAGTCATGCATGTGGTCAGTTACAGCTTTCGCGGCAGACAAAGCACTACTTAGCTTCCGAGCACTGATAACAGCGGCACCACGCTTCTGTATCGCACTGAGAAAGTCGTTTTTAATCCAATTCTCATCGCCAACTGCTTCAAACACAGGAATACTTTTGCCGTCTTTGTTTACTGTTGCGTGACTAACATCTACAAACTGAGTATTGCTATGGTTTCCCCAAATTATGCAATTCTTGACAGAATCGGATGGAACGCCCAGACGTCTGGCAATCTAGCAGTAGGATATCAACAGTAAATGAGACTTACATATGACTGGGCACGGTTATGATCAAGTCTAGTAAGGGCGCTGAAGTTCTCTTTAGGAATAGACGGAGCGTTCTTCATCATTGCAAGTGCGTTTGTATTAGCTGGATTACCCACAACTACAACCTTTACTGTTTTCTTGGCATACTTATCGAGGGCCTGACCTTGTTGCTTGAATATGTGGACGTTAGCGTTCAACAGGTCTTTGCGTTCCATACCCTCTTTCCGAGGCATAGCACCTACCATCAGAGCAACATCAATCTGATCGAAAGCGACCTCAGGTAGGTGCGTTACCACTACGCCCCTGAGCGGTTTGAATGAACAGTCCTGGAGTTCCATTTCAAGACCTTTTAAGGATTCTACCATTGCCTCAATATCGAAAAGATGTAAAATAACTTCCTTTACCAAATGAAAAGACTTTATCATTACTTACCTGCTCAGGGCCAAACATATCCCCACGTGCAACCATGCCAGCAAGGGAATACCCAATTTGCCCAGCTGCACCAGTTAATAAGACTTTAATTGGCTGAAAACATAAAGGAATATAAAACCTCTAACATACCTCAGGCATTATCTCGACAACAGCAGACGATAAAGTGAAAAGGCCGCTGGGCGCTAGATGTCCAACATTTTGATAGATAAAAACAAAAGCATTTTTAATTCACTACTTCTGTTTTTAAGCCGGAGTACATTAGTTTTATATTTTTAAGTTATATAAAGAATTACTAAATTCTATACAGTCTTGTAGTTGTAATGATCTCGATATAATGCTTATTAAGCCTATGCATTACTTCTCCGCTTCCTGATGATAGGACGTTACCGTTTAAAGCCCACAGGCCTACAATAATCATTCTGAGCTGCAGTACAACGAAAATCCATTGTGGTTTTGAAGGAAACATATGAATATGCTGGCATGGCCTGTTCCGTTAGAGAATTTCACTGGTTTTGGTGTGGTTGTGTTCTCTGCGCTGGATGGTTTGGTTGCGAAGCTTTCATTGCTCTACTGAGCAACATCTTCAGCGCATACTTCGATGTGAAGTGAGCTTTTAAAATTCTCTATGAGTTTATTAGTCATCTCTTCTAGTAACCTTTAACGTGATTGGTTGTTTTCGTGTGACATTTCATCCCCTAGTTTGCTTGTCTCGGTGCTGGCTGCTTCTTTGGTCTGAAGCGCAGAGAACACAACCACACCAAAATCATCCACCTGAGCTACAAATCTTCTCTATTATATCTAATTTCACTGGTATATTATTCAGTGCCAGAAATAAACTTTCAGATGTGGACGGTTTGACTGTGACTTTCGGAACTTAATATGATGAGAAAATTTAGTGAGGACATATGAGCGGAGATATTTGCACCCACAGCTTTACGGAAAATATGGAGTGCTTAAATGAAGTCACTGTTAACCACGAATATGAGTTTGATCCCATCTCTCTTTACAAGAAAGATTCCATGATAACTTCATCAATCAATACCCGATTTATGCACCTTCTCTAATGTATCTGCTTCACATTTGAAAAATAAGCTAGTTGCATGGGCTCAATACTCCATTTGAGGTCTGATAAATGTTGTAGAATATGTAATAAATATATTTGCATCAAAACTTTCGAAGACCTTGTTGAAATCCCTTAGTAATTTAAAATCCTTCCCAGCCATTGCTCTGCAGTAAGCTGAAGTTTTCACGTCACGATTTACAACCAATCTTAAACCTTCATACATAGTAACCGTCAGTTGAGTAAGACCACTTACTGATTTACCGTACAATTTAATTATAACGCCATAGGTAACTACACACCTGCTTGTATTAATTTCCTAAGACCAATAGTCCTACAGTCTACCACTTTCGCCATCTAATGCTCTTTGGAGCTTAGCATAGGTGGAAAACATTAAACAAGGTGAGGTTTATGGTAAACGGTATCCTATTTATATAGAAGGGAAGAGGACCAGAAATCACGTGTTGATTCACGTGGTTTCTCACTACTCACCACGACGGCAAGATACCGTCAATGCTCATTTTATCTTCTATTACGATAGAAATGTTGAAACCAGACTGCCATTTTGTCAATCTTACTTACTGGCCAAAGAGACCCTAATTGAACAGCTTATCAAAAACTATGCTAATGTCTGCAAATATTAGCATCATCTGTATCTACTAAACTTTATCGTACAGATAGAAGATTGGTCAAGTAAGAATGGTTTACCCTAAAAAATTCTGTTATTCGGCCAAAATGTTGGTTACTCCTAAGATGCATAGTAATAGCGCCACTGACAACTCCTTACAGCAGTTTCACAGCAATTCAGAATAGCGGGAGAGTAACATTTGGCTCGATTTCTAGGGCTAATTTCGAAGACAGGAAAAATGATCCCCTATGAAGCCAACTTATTGGAGTGCACGGAATGATTCGGGCTAATTTGATTAGCACCGGTGAATATTCGAATGTACCCTTGTTCAGTGCAGATAATATCCGCATATGTTATTCATCAAGATTAGTAGATTTACAAGAAGTTACCTTTAGAAGAAATTCTAAGGTTATTCTTCACTTAACGTGTTAGTGTTACATTCCTCGATGAGTTTCCCAAAAATCTCATGGAAATGCAACAATAATGTAGTGATACTTATCATCAGCCAAGATTAAGGAACTTTGGAGGCTGAAGGCATCGACGTTCGCGAACTGTACGGAGTATACTAACGCAGGATCTTATACCAACAACTTCTATAGTGTTCACTCTTTGAGTACCAAAGATAAAGCAAAATACCATATTTAGTTGTCCAAAGTACGTAATATATTTCGGGACCAAATCGTGGGTTGTAGTGAATGCTTAGCTAGCTAGTAATCGTGCACGCACGTGACACGACGGAGTACCAAATGGCGGGGATGCTTGACCGGAAGCCTTCAGCTAAACAAGTCGACTTAAACAGTGAGGGTCAGCACCCAATGTTGAGTGATGATTGCTGTGGTCAATAATTTTGGTGAGTCTGTGGTGAGAGCTGTCTACTAGCCAATTGGTTGACAATAATTGAGGTCAAAGGTCAAGATGTACAGGCGGATACAGTTAACATATAGATGAACTGACACAGCCACAAGAGATGCAAGGTTAACTTTGTGTGAGAAACATCCAATCAACAGACTGTATTTTCTACTAACATTAACCTACAATAATGGACATCAAAATCTATAAATACGTGTTGATTTTCCGTAATAAACGTTCTGTTGCCTGGCCCTTGTCTTCTGTTGTTACAAGTTATTTGCCGCTACAGAACCTCTGTTGGCAAAAAGAGTTGGAATAGAGTTACTATTCTTCCCTTCACACACAATCTGTTTTGAAGGAGATACCTCTCTTCCACCAATTTTATGTGTATTGGCTGGTGTTATAATCGAGTATATTACCAAGAGTTTTATATTTTCTCCACTTCTACCTCCATGTAGCAACTCTGTACGACTGTTCATTCCAGTAAGATTCTTATTTTTAGAAAACATTGAGAACATGCTGTGAAAACACAGACAACAATGTAGTTACTTTACATAACCTTTAGGTTAGCAGCTTCAAGCACAAAAGCCTCGTTTTGAGTAATCAACATATGTGACAAAAAATGCACAGACGTGATCCGTTGTCGAGATTATTTGCTAAGGAGACCATTGAATATATTGCATTCTCCTGTCCTAACAGCTTGCAAATGGTGTTTTCAGTTGGGTGAGCTCAGTACTACTTCTCGGATTTGGCGGAGTTAAGATGTGCTGCTGGAATTATTTCACTCATCTTTACCATTTCCTTATGAACACTTGAGAGACATTTTCAGGATGAGGATGTTCAAGAAGTTCACGTCGTCAGAGGGCCTTAACTTGGTTGTATGCTAAGGTGTCCACCCTGCGTCATTGTGTTTTGATCCAGTAGTAAAGTATTCTGTAACTGCAGTTGTAACTGGTGTGGGAAACTGTTCATACATAACACAAAAAGACAATAATGACTGTTTAGATCTTAATAAAAATAATGCTTCTGCCCTTAATGAGCCTGCTCAGCAGCTTGTGAGAGGGCCCTGTGGGCCCTTTACAGATAAGTGAGACATCTTATGAATCAGCACGTCCCGCAGTTTTATACGAGATTTAAATTGTTATTATAGCTGTCTAGATGGATTTGACTAGCAACAGTCAATTGACAGTCTCATTCGTACTTAGCGGTCACTCTCCACCTCTAACCATCCTCATGAAAACTGTAAACCTTTACAAACTTGACACAGAATCAGTAACTAAGGTAGATATCCTCATTAACTTTGTTACTACAGAAGTCACAAAACGACTCGACGAAAAACTGAGTGCTATTGCCGACAACGTTGCGGACAATGAGGTACTAAAAAAGATTCCGTTCATCTAAAATAGTGAGGCAAAAAGTGCTATAAACTGAAGAAGAGTCAACATGAAAAGTGTTGTCCTATTCGTTTTCAGTTCGAAACATCGGCAGAGGCCAGAAAATTCATCCACACACAACACACCCTATCGCAAGCCAGAAATTACAAACTAATAAAAAAAACTTGGAGGATCTGGACTTCGCCGATGATATATGTCTGATTTCCCACAAACTGGAAGATATGCAGGCGAAAAGCAACAAGTTAGCAGAAGAAGCATCAAAGATAGGACTTCAGGTGAACATAGGGAAAACAGAGGTAATGAAGATTGCTGGACAAGAACAACACAACAGACAATGATCGGCGTAAATGGGAGGAACCTGAAAGAAACAACCTCTTTTACCTACCTGGGAAGCATAATAATAATTTTTGCTTTATTCCAAAAACAGTATTAATGATACAGCAAGGAATTTTCAGCATTCAGTACAATATTGCATCTAATTTACTCAAAAACGACAACAACAAAAAATAAATAAACGAAATAATTAATACATAATAATGATAACAAAACGTTTTTATAGCAGCTATGTAGCAATTACAGTATACGATAAGGAGAAAAATACGCATAAAGTATAAAATTATAGTAATAATAGTAATAACAACTAAAATAAAAATAGCAAAGTTATAATTAAACGATAGAAAGGGTGACACCATAGAATTACAGAAAGATGAACAATGAAAGGGTCGATTCACTATGCTAATTACATAGTAACTTATATGTTTCACGTCTAACAGAGTCTTCATCACATAAAATACGGGCTAAATACGGTATTGTAGAATTTTTGTACTTAGTGGTACGAGCATATAATTTCTTATATTGACTTCTCGTTCTACCTGATGAGATACAAGGGGATAGTTGTGAATAAAGAGGGTGCAGAGGGTCTGACAGTACGGCCTTTGCTCAATTTGTACAGGAATTTACGTGTCTCTCGACTATAGTATTGGCGAGCTCACGCAGTGACAAACCACAAGCCCTACTCACAGCATTTAATACCCTTCGTAATATGACATAGTCTTTTTTAAGAAGCCCAGGAAAGATTAATGGAGAACAATAGAGTACAATAGGTAAAATACAGGAGTTTAAAAATTGCAGAACCAAAGGTTGGTTGATACCTTGTTGTCTTAACTTTTTAATGTAGAAGGTAAGACGAAACATTTTCTTAGAGATCAATAAAATGTGGGATGACCATGAAAGGTCAGAGGAAAGAACTAATCCAAGGTATT